TTATGATTCATCAACCAATAGGAGTTTAAAGAAACAAATCGAGATATGTACCCCCCATCCGTACGATGTACCCCCCCACACACACGAGTACCCCGGGTACTAAAACGAACAAGGGGAATACCCGGGGTACTCGTGTCGGTGAAATACGGTAATTTCCAAATTACAAATTGGTTAAGTATTAATTATACGATGTGAATTAATATTAATATCATTATAAATACGTTTAGCAAGTATTAAAATTTTGAGCTACGTCAAAATAAATAAATTTGTAAGCAATCGATAGTGCCCAATTAATAGTTATATTTGACCATTAATACCGATTACGCGGGTCTGTAAAGAGAGACTAGCCTGGTATGCCGTATATAGGCGCGGATATCAAAGGCATTACGGTTAATAATTTCAAGATTCGCGATTAAAAATAAGATACAATATCTGTTCCAAAATTGTGGAAGCATTTGAAGTAAGTTGTAAATTTAAAGTTTTTCGGTAGATAAGTTTTATTCCGTAAGCTTCTATGATGGTTTTATAATTCATCGTAACCAATTGTTGGCCAGTCATGTTGACACTAGCTGATAACAAAGTTAGCACATCATATAGTAGTAAAAGTTGCTTGGATTAATGTCTTTACAAGACAAGGCGTTCATGACTTTACAAATGTTCTTATGATAAAATTGATACGGGATGTTTTACTAAATAGGTAATAGAGACAAATGTAATTACAATCCTGAACGTGTGATAATTTCGTTGCCATTATAAGTAGTTCGTCTATTGTGGCACTTTTACTACATCTGCCTGTTTAAATAAAGTTATATTAATCCTCAAACCATTTATCTCCCGACGGCTTTTATTGTAACGAAATGATATTATCAATAAACATTCTATAGAATTGCGTAACGATCACTGATCACAAGATTGGGAGTGTGTTTTCTACATACTTTCCCATATTTAATATTAATCCTCTTTGTGATGCAGTCATTGTCAGATGTTTGCAATCGTCTTTGAACTCGTTTTATGGTAAAGAAATGTGTATCATGAAGATCATTGAGTTTTGGATGGTATTTAGGTGGGTAGCCTTAAGGCTTCAGGTGCTTCGGCATATATTTTGAGGATCTTGGAGCTTACTAATATGGTTAATACCTCCATAGCCCGCCTTGATACCTCATTGTCCGAGAATTATCACAACGTTGCTATATGTTCGCCTCGAGCTAATTCGTACTTGCACCAATATGGCTTTGCTATTAGATAAGACTTGATTGGTTTTCCTATTTTCAACGAGCTTCTTTCTCTATTTTATCTTTGTGACTTAATTCTTATTGAACTAGTAAAGAAACTTTGTCGAGGTGAACATTTATTGGCCACAATTTACATGTTCCACATATTTGCGTTATATGTTACCCTCAGAACTGGATTCCGTCCGCTGCCTAACTAAACAAGAAACTCACAATTATAAGAATGAATAGAGCGAGTGAATAACGACATAAATGATCCCGATATAAGAGAAAGTATTATTATCACATGCTTTTTCTAGTGGTATAACGGATAGGGGTATATGGCAGTAATGATTGACATTTTGTGGAGTCTATAACAAGCGATAGCGCACTGTCCAATTGAATATCTGTGGGGTGTATTTGGGATATTCAGTGTTCTCATATTGATATTATGAATTCACTTCAGAATGATCGAATAACATAAAAGATACCCTCGCCAATGCAGATATTTTTTGCCTTGAAACAATTTGTATCGTCAATTGAGACTTATTATTTGATTACCTTCATTTTCACCTTCTATTCTCCCGTTTACTCAAAGTTCAATTCTTCCAATTCTTCGAAAAATTGGTAACATAAATGCCTGAACCTGTCTCAGTCAATAGTATTATAAGGAATAGTATATTTACTCAAGACGGAGCAAAATGTGTGCAAGTTGAACAACCTCAATCCCAAGCGAAAAGTTCGACCGAATCTCGATTGTCAGTAGAACAGCAAGAGTATTGGGTATTTGGATACGGTTCGCTTATCTGGAAGCCACCTGTTGCATGGGAAGAAAGGTAAATTTTGCGTATGCAATTTTGAAGTTTATATTGGGATTACTATTAATTGATGTATCTTTTATAGAGTTCCCGGATATATTAAAGGATATGTGCGACGATTCTGGCAGGCAAGCTATAAACTAATCAATCATTATAAGTTACGTTAATTTTTCAAGGTTGACTTACGACTATTGTTATCCATTTTCGCTGCAACAGCATAGTATGGATCATCGTGGGACGGTGAGCAATCCTGGTCGCGTGGTCACCCTGATACCCTATTCTGAATGGAAGCTTCTTGAGGACTACCACCAAAACAACGAAGACGATATTACTTGGGGTGTTGCATACAGGATTCCTTCAAACAAGACAGCCGAGGTAAAGGAATATTTGGGCTGTCGCGAGCGCGGGTATTCGATTCAATTAGTAGATGTTTATCAAAAAGGAAGAACGGAACCAATAATTATCCAAGTAAGTCGCATGTCAACCTCCAAGATGTTTACCGAGACAAGACCTAAATACTATAACAATATTCAACGTCACACAGGCTGTCTGCTATGTTGCAAATCCTTGGCATAACTACTATTGTGGACCAGCCCCAATTGAAGCAATTGCGTATCAGATACATCGATCTCGTGGTAATTATAAGAATCATACTCGTAAGAAAATTTATCGTTATATTGCTCAAGGTATTTATCAATGTTGATTGGTTTATTATTATATAGGAAGGAGCGGACAAAACCGGGATTATGTGCTTAATCTCGCAAAAGCTTTGCGTGAAATTGCCCAGGATGCACACGACCAACATTTATTCGACTTGGAACAACATCTTTTGGCGTTAGACGAGTCGTTTAATGATTGTTTCATCTGTGACATAAAGGTCCCGCTTGTGCTGATGATTTTCTTCTCATTAATATTCTACTGCTACCACTCAAATTATCAACATGACGTCATGTGATCGTCGTATATCGTTTTTACTAATGCTAATAGATCTAGAATTTCTAATTGTAATAATTTATTTATACTAATATATAAGGGAGGGGAGTGGCTGATCTATAGTAAACACGTTTTGTCGCGTAGTATGTTTTCCAATTGCAGAGGGTCGCTTACTACTATCGATAATGCTACGGGTAAAAGAATTGGTTAGTGAAGATAATTTTTGAAAAATAACCTTTGCTAATTTGACAATAAAACAAAACATCTTATCAAAGACACAAGAGTTTTGTAATAACGGATATACAAAGTGTGGTGATTTATTATTCGTTGTTCTAGAGCAATGACTAAAGTGTTGAGCTTGCTCAGCCAAAATACAGTGATAGGGATTGGACGTCCAGCACGAATAGCACGAATTAATACAAATAAAAAATTTATTACAAAAACAAGTTGCAAGGACAGAGCACACACACTCTAAAATCCAACTAAACTTGATGGGATCTGATCTTGTTACATTGATTATTTACAGTGGTGTGCAAAAAAAATGAACTTTTTTTCGAAAGAAGATCGACAGGTGTAACTTGCCCAATTTTGATTAGAT